AATATAAAAGTAGTAATATTGAGAAGGAAAAACTACAGAATTATATTTGTGCGGATCGACAGAGGATAAAATTGACATTACTGTAGAAACGAACACGAGCCTGAGTAATAACAACTAAGCGGCTTTACTACCAGCATCAGACAACTCTACCCCCGTCCCCCTTACTTTACTCTCCAAACTGTGAGCTCGAATGGCTTCGACGAGGCGTTCCAGTGCAACCCGGTAACGCAACCGGGCCATTGTCACTAGCCAAGGTTGACGTGCGGAATTGTTCCAACGGTGCATGTGGCCAGCCTGCACCACAGCCGTATCGAGGACACATCGTCGAGCCTGGGACCAGGCGTCCAGATGCGTCCCGGATGGATTCGAGAACCTCGAACGTGAGCCGGGCTCTTGCACGTCTTCGGACAGAGCAAAACTCTGTGTGGCGAGCGGTGCCAGGCTCTGGCGTTGAATTGAACCCACAGTGGACAGATCATGAACAATACGCAAATCTGAGCGACGGAGGGAGAGAGTGGTATGAATGCAAGCGGCATAGAAAACACAAACAATGCACATGAGAATGAGTCACTTGGATCATGTTAGATAACCAGGTTTCAAACCAAGATAAGCCGCTTCGGGTACAATAAGAAGTATCAGATTTGGTGTATCTTGTGAAACACAATAATAATAGTTAGATGCAAAGGAATCGAAATTTCGCATTGTGTCTTTTGAGGACAACGAGAAACCCCAGATGGATCAGATCATTCGCTCACAGTGACGATTATCGTCCGGTTTCTCACCTCAAAGTCCTTTCTAATATCGTGCAGTGTTATTGTGGAACAACCAGTTACGCAGCTGAAATACCACGCATTCAGGAATAATCCTAAGTATCGGGTTCATGGCCACAAATTAACTGGGACAGGTGTCACGGATAGTCTTCGGTGAATAACAACCACTGGCAATCCAGGTTATTATGGACTAAGAACTATGACACCTCCAATTTTTGAGGCGAAAAAGTCGAACACCTGACTCATGGGTGCAGGACGATACATTGGTCAGTATAAACGTGTGTCTGAGCTTCTAAAAAGTCGGCTATTTTATAGTCCGCGGTGCGTTCGGAACTGTTCATCCTTATCGAACAGAATCGTCGGACTACCGGATTGAAGGCATGAACAGTGTTCGATCCGTCATCTCGGTGCAGAAGCTTAATCAGTTTACAGTCTCTTGAGTTTTTTCACTCAAAATTATGATTTTCCGACGGCCTTTTTTTTAATTGAACCTTGTTGTTCGTCTTCCTACTGATCATCAAGCACCTTATCAAATAACTGCCGTGATGACCGGGTATATGCATATCAATTAAATTTGACTGATCGATAACAAACGGCCTGAGGTGGATCTGACTGTTTAACATTTAACACCTTCTAACCTACTCATTCTTACCCATCCACCCCCACCCCCTCCCTCTTAAACACAGTGTCTATTACCTATCCCTCAATTACAGACGTTTTTTCTTCCGTTCCACATCACCTTTTGCTCCATCTGGAAGTTGTTTATCTTTGTTTCACTCTAAGACTCGTATCGCACAGGAGTATAAAAACATTGGTGACCTTTTTTCGTNTTTAACGTGTTTTTCACTTCCTACACTTACCGCTAAACCGATTCAAACAGGCCCGATTCTGGTCCACTTTTCAGCCTTTTTGGTCACGTTCAAAGCATAGCTATCTGTCTTATCAGTGATCCAACAAAGACAACCGATATTATGTAGCCTCCATCGCAATGATCTAACTTTACTCGTCCTTTTTATCACTTCCGTTCGTGGGAATTCTTATTTAATCAAATCCTCTATTACGCACATGAAATAAGTAATCAGGTTTTGGATGTTTCCAACCGAGTCATAACCCTGGAGGCAAGTGCTGAGATGAGCAGGGTCTGTGGCCCACAACAAGCTCGCAAAGATCGGTTGTGCTATATCGTGTAAATGGAAAAAGAAAAACGGTCTGATCAGCTGGCGTAGTGGGTAGCATGCTTGCGTTCTGCCCATGAATTCCCGGGTTCGATCCCCAGTTGGGTCGATGGGTTTGCACTGTGGCTAATGAGACCCAACCAGATCGAAACAGTTGTTCAGTGCTTCCTAGCTTTTCAGTTTACGCTTCATTTGCCATAGACACGACGAATTCCCATTTGAAATTTAATCAAATCCTCCACTACGCACATTACATTTTCTTTCGGCTCAATCGCAAATCCAGCCTTCTCCCTATCTCGACACACACACACACACACAGCAAGTACCCCCACAAGCGAACTGTGTTGATCTTTGCCAAGCTCATAATGTACACCAATTAACTACTAACGTGCAAGTGGGGAAGAGAGTGAGCTGGTTTTCAGGGTGGAGGGAGAGGAGGGAGACGAACCTCCGTGGTCAAGGAATCAAGTTCACAATCTAATCGTGTGTGCACTGCTATTCAAACAATATGACCTGATAAGGAATGGGAAGAACACCACAAACAGCAAGCCACCATTGTCAACTATTGATCCCATGTCCATTCGTGCTTTCGTTCATTCTTTTTCTCGGAGAATAGCTCAGCGTTGAAACGTTTTTCCCCTTTTTTATCTCAATTCCCTCTTTCTTTCAACTGTCAAGCTTTCAAATACAGGGACGGAAAAAAACTGGTTTTGACATGAGCGCTTTTACATCGCTATCAGGGTTTTGCCTCCGAAAGTCTCAGTATGGTCGAGGGTGAGTGTCTAGGGTTGTGGCTAGTTAACCTTCTCTTGCACCTCACAAAAAGCTCTTATACGATTTAGCGTCTGAAACAGCCTGTGCTGGGGATGCCCCACTCAGTGTCTTCGAATGGTGGAGATGTTTTCCCGTCAAAGTGAGAGGAAGAAAGCCAATATCTGGGGCTATAACCGGATCGGTGAACCAATGGCATTTCACCTAAGGGAATTGGCTAAATCCACTGATTCCAAACCAATGAACAAGCGTACAAAACGCACACACACACCTTCCTGGTTGTGGTAGTGGTCACCTTCTCAATTAGACATCAAGGTGTATTGATTAACTTGGACGCTTGCCCCCGTCTAAAGAGGGAACTGGGCACCGGCCCCCAGGGAATTGGGGTTTTCACACATCGACCCGTTGCTTTGCGGGTCAAGCTCTGGTTAGCCCCAGGTTCCGGTTGTGAATTCCCCAAGAAAATTCACCTTCTTTGGCCTGGTCAAACAAGCAGTAAGGCACCCACTAGCAAATCATAAAATTATTTCTCTGTTGTAATGATTATTGTCCCGTGATTTATTTGACACCCAATACGGATCCAGACGTTTGTGAAATACATTGCTAAGTGGATATTTAGGCTATGGAATTCCACTACAATATATGTTCATCATGTAATTTTCAAGACATCCACACAGTCCTCTCAGTTCTGAGAATCGTTCGTTTTCTCATGCGGTAATATTATTCAAAAAGTAGTTTCGAACACAAGTTTGAGTTAGTTGGACCATGTGAATATTGCTTCTCATTCAAAAAACGAGCGGGATAGAACAACAACTCAGTTCATTCACAGCTAGTCGTATGAGAAGATTGAAGTCAAGTTAGCAGCAAGTGGGGAAATAAACGTTTTGACTTAAAAAGCGCTTCGCTAACCAGAGTAGCCAATGTGATTATACTGAATATGGACTTGGAATACCAGTCGTAAAGTGTGTGTATTACGGAAACGTTAATTGAACGGGAAAATTATAATTTGGTTGCCTGATTGCGTGTTCAGTGGAATTCAACGAAATCCGACGCCGTATCTGTTCATGATTATCTGACTTGTCGGTGATCGGAGCTTTTGTTCAGTAATGTGTTCCCCGGCTATATCCCTTTACTGCTCCCCTATGTGATTTTCCCTTGCTTGCTGAAGGCCGATTTCAAGCTGCTGCGCTTACAATATCGATAACTTATCTATCACTCTCCTGGACAACAGTTTAGGTTTTCTGATGATATTACTATCCCTGATTCAGTATCGAACCTTGTTTCATATTCCACTTCTTTCGGTCTTAATCTTAATCCTGAAAAATGCATTGAATGTATTTTTACTCTAAACCGTACCCCATGTTCCTCCGACAATGTACAGATTCATGGAAAGCCGATGAGCAGGGTCAGTCATATCACACTCGAAAGTAACTTTCGCTCGTCNAACTGTTGCTCGCAAGTTGAAAGTTCTCTCTTTTCAGATAAGAAGACTGCGCGACTTCTGTTCTGATTTATCGGTGATAAACGCCTTTGTTCAACAATGTGTCCTCCCTATACCCTTTTACTGCACCCCTGTAATTTTTCCTGGTTTACTGAAGGGTGATTTCAAGTAGCTAAGGCGTGGTCTCTCAGTGATCAGTCGTGTCTCCCAAGTTCCGTTATCTGTTCTGATTGGCAACATGTGCAAGACCCATATTGATGCGTGCTTGAAATTTACTGACAATATCCTATCCTCTACACATTGATCTGTGTGCATGCAAATTCCACTCCCCACCCGTTCCAAGTACAAACTTATCCCGTCTCGCATATCAGCATGCAGAGACTCTTCGGAACCCTATCTTGCCTGGATACTGACCGACAAGGAAAGTGTTCGTTCTCAGCATTCCAATGCACTTCGTAGTTAATTTATATTTTTGCAAGTTTGATAATCAACTTTTCCCACCTTTTGCAAGTATTGTGACGGTGGTCCATTTTTGGCTGAAATCTGAAGTTTCAATATAATACAATGATATAAAACAAGGTGCATTTGATGGAAAAACAGAAACGAGGAAACGAAATTAAAAACGTGGCACCGAAAAGCAGAGCCACTTCACCCCACTCCCAATGACATCTGGACAAAAATCACGACATACGCACCGGCAGGAAGTCCGTGAGCAGCAGCCGATTCCGGATCAAATGCACCGAGGAAAGCCAAACACTGAAGCAATAGACGTTGCTGCAGATTGATTACGCGACTCGTCATATCTCCGACCATCACTTCGGAATCAAGCGAACGTGAATCCAAGGTAGTCAAATCTAACAGGCAGTGTTTCACATCATCAAACAGAACCAAACGTTCTGGATCTTCATCCTCAATATCCCCGGTACCACCGTTTACGGCCAGTGTATCGGCCGGAAGCCATCCGACCGATTCACGAGCGCGTTCCAGACCGACCCATGCTTTCCCACGTCGGTAAAGTACCATGCGACTTTTTCCAATCGGGGCGCAACCGGTCAACGAGGGCACCGCTCCGCGACGAACCCATTGGTCATCGGTCGTGGCAGCGGACAGAACGGACGGGACGACTTCCACATCCATTTTCTGAGCCGAGTCCTCCGCGAGACTGTCAGTTGAACTGTGCATGAGCGCATCTTCGCAAGAAGTTGCGATTGCTTCATAAAATAGAAATACGAGAGATTGTATACGTGAGCGAATTCAGTTTACCATAGTCCAATGCAGTGATGATAGCTAACAAAATAAACGTTTAAAAAATAGAAAAACCTTGTAATAAAACCATGTGCATTAATCATTATGATCACAGATTAGGCGCGCGTGATGAAACAGAATCAGATGAACGGACATAGGGCGTAGTGATAGATGTGGTGGTGGCATAATGGTTTAGTCGTAGTCACCGGCGTGCTTTGGATCCTATTGTCCGAGCCCCGCTATCATCACCCGACCTTGGTGGTAGGCGGCTTTGCTATCGTCCGGTTCGATAGCATGCCTAACCTTGTGGGACCTAATGGTGTTTGCCACTCCAAGTCCCAAGGCTTGGATTAACAATTTCCACCACAGGTCTTCGTGACTATGGTTTTTACCCCGTTTGCTGTACAAACGCACTAAGGTGTGTAATAAAATAATACGAAAGAGCTGAGATTGTGACAAACAAATCACGGTAAAATAATCCTTATAACAAAGAAATAACTGTATGATTTGCTGGTGGGTGCGATACTGCTGGATTTTGCAGATCCAAGTAGATGAATCTTCTCGGGGATTCATATCTGGAACCTCTGACTAGCCAATACCTGATCCGCAAAGCAACGGGGCAGTGTATGAAAACCGTAATTCACTGGGGGCCAGCGTCCAGTTCATCCTGCGGACGGGTACGAGCGTCCAATATAATCAATACTCTTCGATGCCCAAGTAAGCCAGTGGCCACTACCACAACCGCAAACGTGTGTGTGTGTGTGTGCGTGTGTGGTTCATACATGCCGTCCTCTCATTTTGACGGGAAAACACCGCCAGGGGAAAAACAGACGAGGCAAACCCTATTGTTACGAGGGGCAACCGTTGTGCTGTATTGTGATAAACTTTTGTAAGCAGTTATGCCTATATTTCAGTCAAAAAACATTTGCAACGTCATCGAGAAATACATAGACAAAATTTAAAAGAAAACGTACATGGAAGAAAGAGAAAAGAAATTCATTTCACAGGCAACCGTTATCAGATGGGGTCAAATGGGAGTTAGTATGACGGACAACGAATCATTCAGTCCACCACACATACAAACAAACATACACACGATGAAATATCCGTTAACTTGTGATCCTTTCCTCTGAGTCATTTGATTGTAAAATCTGCCTTGAGAAAGGTTACCCACGGTAACCGAAACGTCGGCGAATATAATTCTCTACCAACATCGCTGTCATTAGCACTATAACATTCACAATAAAACAACACATGGCGCATCGATTTTTCGATACACTCCTAATATCATTTAGTCACGATGTGTTGAAAATATGACAAAGAATCCTCGCGAACTTACTCAAATTCCGGAGAGTTAACTCAGCTGCACCAAAACAGCACAACTAAAGACGTTCAATATTCTCGGACTGACCAATATTTGCCATATGCACATTCAATCCTCGTTACTGGGTGACAAGAGTAATCGTACGGTGCGAACGATCCCTCAACTTCATTTACACGTCTTTAAAGGTGTGTCGATTCATAGTACGCTGTTCGAGACTAGCTAGGCAAGAAAGTAACTTGTGTTCTGCGCCAGTCCCAGTTGCCTTACCGATACTCAGGTGCCAGAAACAATCACTCACGATTAATATGTGGTCATCATGCATCAAAGTGGGAGCAATTAGCAATCAAAGTATGCAGCCGCAGTGTGAATGTTATAATGTTGATGACAGCGATTTCAGTGGAGAATTATATTCGTTGACGTTTCGGTTACCGTGGCCAACCTTTCTCAAGGCAGGTTTACAATCAAATATGCAGCCACATATTGCATTTCAAGGTTGCAAATCGTATGTCACTAATCCACCAATTTTTATGGCTAACCTTAACAGACAAATATACTACTAATATTGATGCCTGAATAATGGTTTTTACCAGTTATCTATTGAAAGTAAACATTAGAAAGTTAGTTATTTGATAGTTGGTCAATGATAAAATGAAACATGCATAGTGATGAATGAAAATATTGAAAATAAAAGATTGTCATTGATTTTCATCGAATTACTTAGCTTCGCGCTGATAATGGATAAGAACTGAGTGAAGAAAATAATCCTTACAGAGAGAAAGACTAAGAAGAAGTCCTTGTTTCGTTTTGTTTATTACACCTACACTTGTGTGATGAACAGTAGAAGTGGTGGACCCCATAATCACGGAGACCTGTTGTTCGGTCATGGAATTATCTTCTCAAAAGGAGAAACTTTCCGTAAATGGGTCACCAACGTAAGATATTAGTTGAACTGTTGAGATGTTCGACAAAACTGTGCACTAATCGGAAAGCGGTATGCCCATAGTTTAAGACAGAGTTGGTGAATGTGACTCAGTGTACTAATGAACTGCTTAGTTAGCTCACTGACACTCAATTTTCGTGGGCCCGCAGTGTTAGGTAGATGGAAAAAATGTCGACTGTTAACTATAATGATAACCATTCTTTATTCATGGAAAGAAGTTTCTCTGCCATTCGATAGATTCATGATCAGTTGATGTATTAGAGAATTCAATTTTGCTGATTCACTGAGCTGGGCGATTTGTTTGCAAACGTTTCACCATTATCTCAGGCGACATCTTCCGTGCTTGTAGAGTGTGTAGTATCGTCTTGGTGTCTGGAAGCACGGTTTTGCGACTGTGAAATAGTTTCCTTGATCCGCTTTCAATATTTACCGAGTTCTTCGACGGATGGTTGAACTGAACGGCGATCAGAGAGACCCTCTCTATTGTACAATAAGCTTCCCGCGTCCTTTTTGAGGTTTTTAACCAGATGGAGTAAGAATCTGGCTATCTGACGAGCATGTTTCACATCCACGGGCGGTGACCAATGAGTGGCAACCTTGAATGAGACCACACCTGCGGTAACTGATGTTAAGGTGACCAATTGGAGCCCATTACTGATTAAAAAAAATAGAGGATTACAATGAGAGGTTGTCGTTTCTCTTGGGAGAAATTGGTGCTTGATAAGCGCGATATGTTGAAATAGGCGGTATTTTTTGTCCTCCGGTCGGCTGGGATTAACTGTGATCTGCCTAGATACTTTCCTAATGTATCCCACTGGAACGTGGACGTCGCTGGTGACTACTACGATGCTTGCTGAGCAAAACGTTTTCAGCAGTCGAGAGTGGTCAATGCAGAAGTTACCCCTCAGTTAAGGTGAACTGCCATTGCTCGTTGCATGGAAGGGCACAACTAAACCGCGCAGTTTTGACCGGTTACTTCTGAACCGTGATGAACCATCGAGATCTATAGCACACAGGCAACTACAGATTGGAATCCAGTCGAGAAGCCAGCGCTGAGCCTTGGTACTTGGAGCGATCATAACACCAGTACCGCCGCAATCGGCGGAGAGTGAAGCATGAAGATGTGGCTGGATCTAAAGAACACAGGGTAATAACTAAAGCTGGGTCTTGTATGTATGTTTCTGAGGCAGAAGGTGAATCGATGCTAGATGTACCAATGACTATAAACTGTGATCAACTCCAGATTATATACTACACGTTTCTCCATTTTTCAATCCATATTTGGCTGGCGCTACCAGTAAAAACTTGCATTGTTGGCAACGTTCCTTAACCGGAATCTTTGGGATACGCAACACTGGACTAGATTCGTGGATAATTCGACGAGACACAACAACAAACTCAATTGGTCAATAAATGGACGCGTTCAGAATTGTCTTCTTTACCATCACGATACACAGTTAGGGACATAAAACACAACGAATAAACCGCCAGGTTACAATAGCCGATTGTCTGGCTATGAGTTGTCTCAAATGTGTGGTCGAAACGGTTAAACTATTCACGGAAGCGATATAAGACTGAACGGATAATTGTATATTTATCTCAAATTTAGATGTGATTTGGCTGTTTCACCAATCGAAAGATGACCTACATTTAAGCCGATCCGTCACACTAGACCATTTAGATGCCAACTCTTCACGAGAAGCTTCCAGGGGAATCTCCTCCAATGCGAAAGCACAAGCACTCGCTCTTTTCGATTTCTTCTCCGATTTCTTATCCTTTGTTCGGTTGAAATCCGACTGTGAAGATTTGCCTCGCGACCGATACCAACCGGACCAGTGTTCCGAGCCGGGTTGCCCGAATCGGGCCACACCACTGTTCCAGAACAATTCCATTTCGAGCATGCATTGATCGTACGTGATGTGTTCCAGTTCCGGGGGACGGAAACAATTGAATTCGATCACAAGTTGCCAGATCGCCAACGCCCGCTCGGCGTGACCGGCTTGGACTAGCCATTGGCAATAATCCGCAAGCAGATCTGACAGGAAGACGGATAAGAAAAAGACGCATAAGCAGGCTAAATGATCAATTGACTGTCGGTTAATCTTGGAACAGGGGGTTGATCGGGAAAAAAAACGCATATCGCACATATCGCAGGGTTAAGGCAAGATGGACCGGAACGCAAGAAAGAGAAACAGACAGAAAATTAATAGGGTTCACTTAGTAGCTTATCCGGAAATGACATGCGAAAGAGCAAAACACTATCGAATGAGTGACCAAGAACGAACAAACTAAAATATATGGTGTGTAGTTTTGGCATTTTACCTGTTTTAAATCGGTCATTAAATCATATACTGTCACTGTCTATCTGACTAAAAAACAGATTTTTTGTCGATCTCGATATTGTTTATTCTAAACCAAAAAATATTTACCAAATCATTGAATAAAATTGATTAGCCGGTGAGACTTCCGAATGGTCTATCAGATTTGCAAGCGCCTTGCCGATAGAGCATACCACAACGTAGTTTTGAACCGTTTCTAAAGCCCCCTCCCCCTCCCCCTTCTCGCATTTAGATCCCCTGGAACAGCGGCGGCGGCGGGGGGGGGGGGGNAAGTACAACTGAGTGCTATCTGGCGCGTCTCAAAGTCACGGATAGAAGACGGACCACTCTAAGGAGTAAGTTCCATATTAGCAATAAGAAGCCTAGCCTCAGTATGGTTGGGTGTGGGTGTCTATGGTTACTGCTGGTCACCCCTCACTTGCACCTCGCGAAATGTCTCCACACGACCAAGCGTCTTAAATAGCCTACGCTAAGGAAGCCCTACTCACTGCATTCTCCTGGCAAATGTGTTTCCCCATCTCCCACCAATATCCGGGTTGACAAACCACCGACCGTTCATCTATTGGGGTTGGCTGAAAACCCTGATTCCGAAAAAAATAAGAAAAAGCGTACGAACTACACACACACACACACACACACACACACACACATTTCTGGTTGTGGTAGCAGTCACCGACTCAATTCGGTATCTAGTTGTATTGGGCACATTGGACGTTTTACCCTGTCCAAAGGGCTCATGATCCGATGAACTGGATACCGGCCCCGAACGCATTACGGTTCTCACCACCCGGCTACCTTGCGGATCAGGCTTTGGTTAGCTGAAGACTCCTCTAAATAAGGCTAAAGCCTTCTGTTGTGCTATCTCAACCTGGCTTAGCACTGAGAGGAACCTATGGACCAAACAGCAGCCATCGGTTCTTCCAGTCCCCGTGGGCACGTTAAATACCCTGGATCCCTAATCGATCCAAAAGACGTATGAATCACAGGTGTGGTCAACGGCTACAAAAAACGACATGGATGGTTGTCGTAAACAGTAACGCTTATGCACCTACTCAATATCCTAGCAATGTTTTCACGAATCCCTATCTTCACCTTGACATTACTTTCAACATTCCAATATTTTCTTTACTCCTTCATCGAAATGAGCAGCCAACGGATAGCAACCGAATCCGCGGCACGAAAGTACATGATTATTGGTTGCAACTGATAGCATACACTCCAGTTGCCCTGTAGTTCGCATATGCATGTACAAAGGCTAGAAGTGCATCCTCAAACGATATTGTAGACATCATTTCGTACCAAATGCCCTCGACACGTCATGAACTCCGACATACCTTTGACTCACGCACATGCTAGGCATCCTCAGAAAGCGGTGCACCCTGGTTGAGAAACTTGACACCAGAGTCCCTCCACATTGTCTGTTGGAATGTCAAACTCTCCTAGTCTTTGGAACTAAGTACATTACTGCGAATCCTCTGTACAACTATAAAGTAGACATGCCATGCCTAAAAGACATGGGTTTTCTCAATCCCAGTATGCAAAAAACTAACGGACCTGCTGACTATCACAGCGGATCAACTGACACATACCAGCGGCATGGAGTTGTTCGTGTTGTCAACCCCTATACTAACGGTGCACTGATCACCTGGGAATCTATCTCCCCTAGGATAGCCACTGATAGACGGCCATAGCCGTAAAAGTCTCGTCACCGTTGACTGACTTCTCTTCCAAGGACGGATTCTACAACCATCTTCAAACTATCATTAACCACACCCTTGAATGCGATACTTTTCTCACTGGAACGTCCGCGTCGGATCGTATGACGACAACTCTGTAGTTGCTTTTCTCTGAGGGATCTACCTGAGAAGTCTATTTCGACTTTGAGATTCCTTAATACGAATAACTGAAGCCGAGTCTGAGGTCTAACTTACGACACGTTTCGCCCAAGTTCATCGATTTGCTTCCAGATAGCATATTTCCGGATCTGAAGTATGTGGACCACAGTAATTTGCAAGCTACTCTGGGTGGTTTTAGTGCCTATGTAGCCATGTTCAGTACGTCTTACACCTTGAAAGTATAAAATTTCGCTAAAGGATTGGGTTAGCTCAGCCCCAGACCTCACTCTAAGTGGAAAGAGAACATAGGAAGTAGACAAATATTGCGATTTTGGCAACTATTTCTCACCCGGCGTCACAGATGAAGTGTCGGCACATATACAGAAACCTCGGCTGGCATCCGCCAATTTGAGACATCTGTGGCGGCGTCACGACATCCAGATGTCTGTGAAGGTTCGAGTGCATGCTGCAGCTATTCGGTCAGTCATTAAATAGATTGCCAGGGCGCGTGCTGTTTTCCGAGGTAGGTGTTGGGTGGAGAAAAGTAAAGAGTGGTCAAACTCTAACCTGGCATGGTGGTATGAAAACCCTGGCCAGGAGACTTACTTGGGTCACGTTATGCGGTATGAGGACCTTGGGATCATCGTAACCGGGGGTTGTTTGCTCTGAGTGATATGAAATATATATCATATTTTCACACAAGTTTGTGTTTAAACTGTGTGCCAGACAAGTCACAGTAATCTTTATAAAAAACAAAGGTCCATGATTGCGAGAGGGCATGATACTGCTAGGATGCTCAGGTCAAGCAAGTGAATTTTCCTGGGGATTTCACAACTAATTGAGTCCATTTGATCTGGTGACCACTGCACCAACCAGGAGGGTGTGTGTATGTGGTTCTCGAGCCTCTTGTTTGGTTTGGAATCAATATTTGTAGCTAATGCCACCAGATGGACTACCGGTTGTTCATCGACCCGATTATAACCCCGGATATTGGTATTTCATCTTCTCACTTTGGTGGGAAAATACGTCCACTACGAGAAGGCCGTGAGTAGGGCTTCCTCAACAGAAGCTGTTTGAGACACTCGGTCGTATGGGAGCACTTGCGGAGTGTAAGAGAAAGATGATTAGCCGCAGCCCAAGACACCCAACCCCGACTATACTAATACTTTCGGAGGCGAGTGATATGGCTGGGTGCAACCAACAGCGGTACTCGTGCAGCTACTCATTATCCCAGCAACATTAGTCAATATGAATTCTCTATCTTCTATTTGACTCTCTTCTCAACATTCCAATCTTCCTCTTGCTCCTCTATTCTAAAAACGATAACTAAAACTGCCGTACAAAGGTGCATGGTTAATGACTGTAAACATTTTAATTCCGGCGCCCCGCTATCCAGCTCCCGAGAAGCGTTCTCTTCCTAAAGT